GAGAGAGAGAGAGAGAGAGAGAGAGAGAGAGAGGGAGAGAGAGATAGAGGAATAGAGAGATGGATAGAGATGGATAGAGGGATAGAGGGATAGAGATGGATAGAGGGATAGAGATGAATAGAGGGATAGAGATGGTTAGAGGGATAGAGATGGATAGGTAGGAGAGAGAGAGATGGATAGAGGGATAGAGAAGACAGAAGTAGTAACCCGCAGCAATGCAAAATCACATCACCAATATGTCCAATCTACCATAAATCTCACATACGGTGATAGATGATGAGAATCCAAAAATAGGTCTCGCTTATTAAAACATACTTACACAGACAACACCGGAAACCTAAAAAAACACTAACCCTCCCTGTGAGTGACCCCAACACTAACCCTCCCTGTAACCCCGACACTCACCCTCCCTGTTACCCCGACACTGACCCTCCCTGTAAACCCGACACTAATCCTCCCTGTTACCCCGACACTCACCCTCCCTGTTGCCCCGACACTCACCCTCCCTGTTACCCCGACACTGACCCTCCCTGTTACCCCGACACTGACCCTCCCTGTTACCCCGACACTCACCCTCCCTGTTACCCCGACACGTACCCTCCCTGTAACACTAACCCTCCCTGTAACCCCAACACTAACCCTCCATTTCATTCTAACACTAAATCTCTCAGTAGTAGCCATCACACTAATTCTGGCCATGCACAGTAAGAATTTAAGGCAATTCACCGGAATTGTGCAAAATTCTTAGAGTGATCTTCCCAGCAGACTGTTTTCGAAGGGACCGGACCGAAAATTTTGGCCAAAACAGTGACTGCAACCAATGGGCTGCAGTCACTGTTCATGTATTCAGAATGCAATGGCCACAGCGAGAGACTCGTTCTTCCATGCTATTTACAGTGGATGGAGGTAAAAGTTAAATTTGGTTCACTCAGCCCTCAGACTGAACATAAAAAAACGAATCGTGTGTGGCCGGCGTCATTCCTCTGTTATGTAACTTGTGTTTAAACTCACTTTTCCTGTGCTGGGATCTGCTGATGTATGGATGTGAAAGTGCTCCCTCTGGTGGCCATCTGAGATATGCAATCCTTCCCAGGGACTGTACAGATTACAGTGGGTACTCTAGTGGCCGCCTGAGCTATGCAATCCTTCCCAGGGACTGTACAGATTACAGTGGGTACTCTAGTGGCCGCCTGAGCTATGCAATCCTTCCCAGGGACTGTACAGATTACAGTGGGTACTCTAGTGGCCGCCTGAGCTATGCAATCCTTCCCAGGGACTGTACAGATTACAGTGGGTACTCTAGTGGCCGCCTGAGCTATGCAATCCTTCCCAGGGACTGTACAGATTACAGTGGGTACTCTAGTGGCCACCTGAGATATGCAATCCTTCCCAGGGACTGTTGACATGACAGTTGGTACCTTAGTTGCCATCAGAGATATGCATGCAGTCCTTCCCAGGGACTGTTCAGATTACAGCCTGTACATATTGCCCCATGCTAACCAAATTAATTGAAAAGTGTGGTTTTCAGGTGCAAGTTGCAGTCTGATTGGTTCCTGTGAGGCACCACAAAAGGTTCCCATGAAAAGTCCTTCAATAAATGTGACCCATCACGCTTTGACCACAAAAAACAAACAAACAACGTCCCACAAACGTGGATTGTATAAATCGGTTCACATGCCGATTCCTTTGTTTTCCCTGCAGGATGTGGAGAAGATTAAGGCTTCCCAGCCTGTGATGCACAAGGAGGCCACCAACAGCAACATCTCGGAGTCTGAGAGGATCGTTGTGGTGCTGGAAACGGATGCCCTGCTGTCTCGTCATCTCAATCACCCACAGGCAGAAATGATTCAGGAGGAGTGAGTGCTTCCACATGTCGTCCATGTTGTATCTATACGAAGGACCGGTGCTCTTTAAATGGTCTGGAGTCTGACATGTCAAATCGCCTGGCATAGCCTGACCTGTTCCAAATGGAAAACCAAACATCTGTTTAGTATTTGTATATCTCGGCCCATTTAAAGTGAACGTTAAGTGAGCATTAGTTCCACCATCTCCCCCGCCATCCCTACAGCCTTACACGATGGTACCTTTTTTGGGTGGTACTGGCTCCCACGTCCTCAGTCCTCGCCTAGGCCAGAATGACGTTCAGTGTAGAAGTGACCCCTTACATTGGTGGTCGGTGTAGAAGTGGCCCCTTACATTGGTGGTCAGTGTAGTAGTGACCCCCTTACATTGGTGGTCGGTGTAGTAGTGACTCCCTTACATTGGTGGTCGGTGTAGAAGTGGCCCCTTACATTGGTGGTCGGTGTAGTAGTGACCTCTTACATTGGTGATTGGTGTAGAAGTGACCTCTTACATTGGTGATTGGTGTAGAAGTGACCTCTTACATTGGTGGTCTGTGTAGAAGTGATCCCTTACATTGGTGGTCAGTGTAGTAGTGACCCCCTTACATTGGTGGTCGGTGTAGAAGTGGCCCCTTACATTGGTGGTCGGTGTAGAAGTGATCCCTTACATTGGTGGTCGGTGTAGAAGTGGCCCCTTACATTGGTGGTCGGTGTAGGCAGGAGAACAATCTGTCACTGCTGTCTTCTCAAGTAGCCCCATAGTAACCTGAGGCGGAACCCTGGCTGAGAAAGGCTGCTATAGACATTGGTCACCAAGACACGAATTGAAAGAATATCCTCTGCTGCAGATACAGATCGCGCTAGAGGCACCTCAGAGGTTCTGTGTCCATGCTCCAGTCTTCTCTTCTCGTGTCATTCACCATGAAGGCTTCTCTTCGGTCAACTCTCAGATGAAGCCCAGCTCAGACTTCTTCAGCCGGTTTCCATTTTACACATTTATGAGGGTCAAAGTTGAGCCTGTTAGGAGTCACGATGACTGAAATAGAGCGCACAGTGACACTTTATCCCTGGCAGGTGGTCGGGCAGAGGAGTCCGTCAGTCATGTTCCTTTATAGAATGAGTGCGGATTTATGGGGGAAGCTGCAGTGAGAAGACTTTTATGTGGACCTTTTGATAATCCACCATCCCTGGGCTGAGTTCCCGGGTCTGTACATCTGCTGTGCCCATTATGAGGGGTCCCACCATCCCTGTGCTGAGTTCCCGGGTCTGTACATCTGCTGTGCCCATTATGAGGGGCTCCCACCATCCCTGTGCTGAGTTCCCGGGTCTGTACACCTGCTGTGCCCATTATGAGGCGCTCCCACTATCCCTGTGCTGAGTTCCCAGGTCTGTACACCTTCTGTGCCCATTATGAGGGGCTCCCATCATCCCTGAGCTGAGTTCCCGGGTCTGTACATCTGCTGTGCCCATTATGAGGGGCTCCCATCATCCCTGAGCTGAGTTCCCGGGTCTGTACATCCGCTGTGCCCATTATGAGGGGCTCCCATCATCCCTGAGCTGAGTTCCCGGGTCTGTACACCTGCTGTGCCCATTATAAGGGGCTCCCACCATCCCTGTGCTGTGTTCCCGGGTCTGTACACCCGCTGTGCCCATTATGAGGGGCCCCCACCATCCCTGAGCTGAGTTCCTGGGTCTGTACACCTGCAGTGCCCATTATGAGGAGCTCCCACCATCCCTGAGCTGAGTTCCTGGGTCTGTACACCTGCAGTGCCCATTATGAGGGGCTCCCATCATCCCTGAGCTGAGTTCCCGGGTCTGTACACCTGCTGTGCCCATTATGAGGATCTCCTCTCCCACCATCCCTTTGCTGAGTTCCCGGGTCTGTACACCTGCTGTGCCCATTATGAGGGGCTCCCGTCATCCCTGATCTGAGTTCCTGGGTCTGTACACCCACTGTGCCCATTATGAGGAGCTCCCACCATCCCTGTGCTGAGTTATTCTATATTATTGGCAATGAAGCAGGAACTGTCTGAGATGTCTATATGAAGGCCTTGCCTCTTTCCCCCTATGAGTTGCTCTTCTATCTGTATTCTAGTCTTGCGTTCTCTGCTGCCTATTTTCTGAATGTGTTGCTTGCTTACCAAGTGGTTTTTCTTTTCGCCGTCTTCTGTACTTCTGGCAGACGGCAGACTGGTGACAGTAATGTGCGCTGTGCTTCAAGCTGATCAGTGCCACATGCAAGGAAAGGGAACGTGTAGAAGAACATGGGCACGGCCGATTAGAAGGAACATGAGCAGAGTTTAAACAAAATAGACGAGTGATCCACACCAGGGCAACTGACGGCGGATGACTTAATGCTACTTCCTTATATCTTCCAGCTGCTGTAAAATCACAGTGCATCGGGGTCCCCCTACCACGCCGCATGGGTTAAACACTCATTTGAGAGAGAGGAATAAATACAAATACTTACCTTATTCCTCACTCTCCACGCAGCTGCCCCTCTCCAAGTTGTGGGTGGGCCCATGTCTTCCTCCAATATAGGACTGCTGGTCCTGCATTGTACATGATGACGCCACAGAGCTGCATCCGGGTGGGCAGCCTTGGGGGGACCGGGCGCACGGAGAAGACTGTGATAAAAACCTGACAGGCGTTCTATATCTTCCCTTCCCAAAACTAAAATGACTGCTTTAGCATACACTTTAAATTGTGTGGGTACTCCAGTGCAGAACAGAATATTGCGTGCCTAGAGCAGGACCAGTGCTGTATAAGGTGTGCCCATGCAGTGCCCCATGGTAGTACCACCAATAGACTACAGACAACCTGCTCTAAATTCGAGACTTATGGCTTTTGTGTGCTCTGCGGTGCCCCCTACTGACTGTCAATTGTCCCCCCCCCCCCCACCAGCATCCGGCAGCTGAAGGAACGTCTTGCCACCCAGAGACAGAAGCACGATCAGATCTACAATCAGAAGGTTGCCGCCTTAGATGCCCCAAAAGTCAACTGGAGCAAAGTCATAGATGACAAGATGGTAAGAGGGGTGCAGTACCGCAGCAGACACCAGTATTGGGCAATGTTCACTTGGGCGCGGTGTGTAACCAATGTTGTAATACAGGCAGGGGCTGGAAGACTACTGACAATCGAGTTACCGGTAACTACTAACTCCGGTTTTCCCCAGTCGTCCTCCATGACAGCCGGACTATTGAGGGTAAGGTGCGGCGGGATCCTTTCATGGGCTGTCCTGGAAAACGACTGGGGAAAAGGGTAACATTTTGCGTAACAGACGCTTGGATATCCTTGTGTTCTGTTCAACCTCTGTTGGGGGGTAGAAAGTGTATTAGAAGTTTCATGTTTGACACAAAAGGCCAAAGAGCAGGAAGTCCAACTGTCCCTACGGGAGAGAAATACTCTGGTAGTAATAGAGAGGGGAAGGGACACTGTAGAACAAAAATGGAGCGGGGGCAAAGAGAGGAGATCGGGAGAAAAAGAAAAGGACACAAGCCCTCTTCACTATGGCACTTACATTTTCACCCTAGGTCTACCCAAGTGTGCCCTGGGTCTTTTTGGACACTAGCAATGCCCCTTGAATATGAGAGAGACCTAGGAGAGCACTGCATAAATGTCCACAGTAAGACTACAAAACTCCCCCCTGAAAGCATGTAGGGTTGCCACCTTTTCTTCAAGTGATACCCGAACGCTCTAGTGCCATGTGGCAATGATTTGGGTAGAATATACAGGAGAGAGGGAGGAGAAACAGCAAGGAGAGACACCCAGGAGAGAGAGAGCAGGGCGAGACACCCAGGAGAGACAGCCAGGAGACCGAGTGGGGAGAGACAGCCAGGAGAGAGAGCGGGGAGAGACAGCCAGGAGAGAGAGCGGGGAGAGACAGCCAGGAGTGAGAGCGGGGACAAAAAGCTAGGAGAGAGCGGGGATTAACAGCCAGGACAGAGAGCAAGGAGAGACAGCTAGAAGAGAGAGACACCCTGTGTTTCAGACACCTGCTTGCTCCCTGAGTTCCAGCATTCCTCTGTGGCCCGTGCCTCATCTATGTACTCAAGTTGGAACACCAGGACCCCGTGGTTGCCCCCGACATCTTATGCCCGGGTTTTAGTTGGCCTGAAATCTGGACACAGCACATACAGAACTCAAAACCTGGGTGAATGCCGGACTGGTGGCAACCCTATAAGGATGTCTGTCATGTGTACAACACACCTGGATGAAAACAGACCACAAAAGCGTTGCTAGCCGTGATGTTGTATGTAACATGCCATGTGCTTCATGTTTTTTGCCACAGGACCAACTCAACAATACTGGCTTTGCCACCGACTTGCCAAACGTTGAGAACCAGATCATGGAGCACAACGTGGTTCACAATGAGATCAGGGCCGTGGGAGACCACATTAACAAAGACGGCGACAAGGTGGGCATCGGTATGGGTGGGCTTTCCTGGTAATGAAGGTGACTCGGTGTACAGTTGCTCACACACTCTGCTTTTTTTCTTCCTGCAGGAATACATCAGCGGACTACAAGTCAAGTATCATAAACTCTTGGTAAGAACCTATTGCTTTGTGCTATTCTGACTGCAACTTTGAGAGTTCATTGCCTGTAGTCATTTCGCTATGTTGCACTTAGTCAGTGGGGAAGCTAGACATTCTGTCACTCGGGGGAAAGGCTCAGAGTTGCTCCCTCCCCAAGGGAGAAGTTCTCCATCCACACAGCCTGTGTCACCCCTCCTAAAGTGGCACACGGGGGACATGCTTCCCCCCAGCTTCGGCCCTGCACTGTCATAATTTTTCATTGTCACTAGTCAAGGGTTCTGGTTGTCACCGATCACACCAACTCATTACAACTAGTTGTATGAACCGTTCTGTGCCCCTAGTTCTGCCTCTTTATTGGCACCAGTACATTTGCTTTAATGCCATTGACCAAGACCCTTCTTTGACACTAGTCATGATCCACTATGTGGCCAAGTTTGTGCACACCAGACCAGACCAATATGTGTTTGCTGGACATCCATTTCAGAACAATAATATGGAATCCCATATGCGCTGACAACCTCCACTGCTCTGGGAAGACTTTCCACAAGACTTTGAAGTGTGTCTGTGGGAATATGTGCCCATTCAGCAAACAAAGAATTTGTGAGGTCATGATGTTGAGTTACAAGACCTGGCACACAATCAACATTCCCAAAGGCAATTGAGTCGTGAAGGCCACTTGAGTTCCTCCACACCCAGCTCCTCATACCACAGTATGTCTTTAGGCAGCTGGGTTGGTCCACAGGGGCACAGTCATGCTGGAAAAGAAAAGGGCCTTCACCAAACTGTTACCACAAGGTTGGAAGATAACAATTGTGTAACATATCCTTGTATACTGTAGTATTAACAGTACCCTTCACCGGTAATACCTGAACTCAATCATACGGAGGGATGTTTACTTAGGTTTGGCAATCCTGTTTCCTCTAAAGCTTTCGGTTAGGATTCCTGATTGCCATTAGTTGTGCATCATCAATATCACTTGACACCTTCACCCCCCTC